ACGCTGAACATCAGCTATACTAGTGACATATGTCACATCACTTGTACAGTTCACTAGTTTAACCTAATCAAACGACGCTGTACATCAGGTGTACTAGTGACACATTTTACATTACCTGTACAGTTCACTAGTTTAACTTGATCAACCTACGATGTACATCAGGTGTACTAGTGACATATGTCACATCACTTGTACAGTTCACTAGTTTAACCTAATCAAACTACGCTGTACATCAGGTGTACTAGTGACACATTTTACATTACCTGTACAGTTCACTAGCTTAACTTGATCAACCTACGCTGTACATCAGGTGTACTAGTGACATATGTCACATCACTTGTACTGTTAACTAGCTTAACCTAATCAAACTACGCTGTACATCAGGTGTACTAGTGACACATTTTACATTACCTGTACAGTTCACTAGTTTAACTTGATCAACCTACGCTGTACATCAGCAGACAGTCACATCACTTGTACAGTTAACTAGTTTAACTTGTTCAACCTACGCTATACATTAGGTGTACTAGTGACATATGTCACATCACTTGCACAGTTCACTAGTTTAACCTAATCAACCTACGCTGTACATCAGGTATACTAGTGACATATGTCACATCACATGTACAGTTAACTAGTTTAACTTGATCAACCTACGATGTACATCAGGTGTACTAGTGACATATGTCACATCACTTGTACAGTTAACTAGTTTAACTTGATCAACCTACGCTGTACATCAGGTATACTCGTTACATATGTCACATCACTTGTGCAGTTAACTAGTTTAACCTAATCAACCTACGATGTACATCAGGTGTACTAGTGACATATGTCACATCACTTGTACAGTTAACTAGTTTAACTTGATCAACCTACGATGTACATCAGGTGTACTAGTGACATATGTCACATCACTTGTGCAGTTAACTAGTTTAACCTAATCAACCTACGCTGTACATCAGGTATACTAGTGACATATATCACATCACTTGCACATTTTACTAGTTTAACCTAATCAAACTACGCTGTACATCAGGTATACTAGTGACATATATCACATCACTTGCACATTTTACTAGTTTAACCTAATCAAACTACGCTGTACATCAGGTATACTAGTGACATATATCACATCACTTGCACATTTTACTAGTTTAACCTAATCAAACTACGCTGTACATCTGGTATACTAGTGACATATATCACATCACTTGCACATTTTACTAGTTTAACCTAATCAAACTACGCTGTACATCAGGTATACTAGTGACATATATCACATCACTTGCACATTTTACTAGTTTAACCTAATCAAACTACGCTGTACATCAGGTATACTAGTGACATATGTCACATCACTTGTACAGTTAACTAGTTTAACTTGATCAAACTACGATGTACATCAGGTGTACTAGTGACATATGTCACATCACTTGTGCAGTTAACTAGTTTAACCTAATCAAACTACGCTGTACATCAGGTGTACTAGTGACATATGTTACATCACTTGAACAGTTAACTAGTTTAACTTGATCAACCTACGATGTACATCAGGTGTACTAGTGACATATGTCACATCACTTGTGCAGTTAACTAGTTTAACCTAATCAACCTACGCTGTACATCAGGTATACTAGTGACATATGTCACATCACTTGTACAGTTAACTAGTTTAACTTGATCAACCTACGATGTACATCAGGTGTACTAGTGACATATGTCACATCGCTTGTGCAGTTAACTAGTTTAACCTAATCAAACTACGCTGTACATCAGGTGTACTAGTGACATATGTCACATCACTTGTACAGTTAACTAGTTTAACTTGATCAACCTACGCTGTACATCAGGTGTACTAGTGACATATGTCACATCACTTGTGCAGTTAACTAGTTTAACCTAATCAAACTACGCTGTACATCAGGTGTACTAGTGACATATGTAACATCTCTTGTGCAGTTAACTAGTTTATCCTAATCAACCTACGATGTACATCAGGTGTACTAGTGACATATGTAACATCTCTTGTGCAGTTAACTAGTTTAACTTGATCAACCTACGCTGTACATTAGCTATACTAGTGACACATTTTACATTACTCGTACAGTTCACCTGTTTTCCTTAATACATTAGCCGTACAAGGGACATAAGTCACATCTCTTGTACAGTTCACCTGTTTTACTTAATACATTAGCCGTACAAGTCACATCTCTTAGATGTTAACACGTCTGGACGAGTTTGAAAGGTTATTCAACGGCAAAATCACTCGAGCATGGCGTACCCAACTGTTGTCCTGTTTAAATTACAAAACTTATTGCTTTAAATAGGTCGCTTGTAAAACACATGCTGGTATATGTTGATCGTTTATAAAAAATGTGTCAGTGTTGAATAATGATTTGTTTGAATAATGTTTTTACACATCACATAATTTCCGGTTCGTGCCCAAGACGCATGGGGCAGATGAAGGGATAGCCGCCTTTACTTTTCCTAATGTGAATACTTTTCCTAAATCGTGTTACGTACCCATCAGAGCTGACTTGAACATGGATTCGAACTCGAGACTTTCGGGTTGCCTAGGCCACGCCGTCTCATCAAATACAGTGTTAGTGTTGTAAAACGATCCCCCCATCACTATATAAACTAGCACAGCATCACTATCTAAACTAGCCCCACATCACCATCTAAACTAGCCCCACATCACCATCTAAACTAGCACCACATCACCATCTAAACTAGCCCCACATCACCATCTAAACTAGCACAGCATCACCATCTAAACTAGCCCACATCACAATCTGAACTAGCCCCACATCACTATCTAAACTAGCCCCACATCACCATCTAAACTAGCACCACATCACTATCTAAACTAGCCCACATCACAATCTGAACTAGCACCACATCAGCATGTAAACTAGCACCACAAAACAATCTAAACTAGCCCCACATCACAATCTAAACTAGCCCCACATCACCATCTAAACTAGTCCCACATCACCATTTAAACTAGCCCCACATCACTATCTAAACTAGCCCCACATCACCATCTAAACTAGCACCACATCACAATCTGAACTAGCACCACATCAGCATGTAAACTAGCACCACAAAACAATCTAAACTAGCCCCACATCACCATCTAAACTAGCCCCAATTCACCATCTAAACTAGCCCCACATCAACATCTAAACTAGCACCTAATCACCATCTAAACTAGCCCCACATCACCATCTAAACTAGCACCTAATCACCATCTAAACTAGCCCCACATCACCATCTAAACTAGCCCCAATTCACCATCTAAACTAGCCCCACATCAACATCTAAACTAGCCCCACATCACCATCTAAACTAGCCCCAATTCACCATCTAAACTAGCACCTAATCACCATCTAAACTAGCCCCACATCACCATCTAAACTAGCCCCACATCACCATCTAAACTAGCCCCAATTCACCATCTAAACTAGCCCCACATCACCATCTAAACTAGCCCCAAATCACAATCTAAACTAGCCCCACATCACCATCTAAACTAGTCCCATATCACCATCTAAACTAGCACCACATCACCATCTAAACTAGCACCAAATCACAATCTAAACTAGCCCCACATCACCATCTAAACTAGCACCACATCACCATCTACACTAGCCCCACATCACCATCTAAACTAGCCCCAATTCACCATCTAAACTAGCCCCACATCAACATCTAAACTAGCACCTAATCACCATCTAAACTAGCCCCACATCACCATCTAAACTAGCCCCACATCAACATCTAAACTAGCACCTAATCACCATCTAAACTAGCCCCACATCACCATCTAAACTAGCCCCAATTCACCATCTAAACTAGCCCCACATCAACATCTAAACTAGCACCTAATCACCATCTAAACTAGCCCCACATCACCATCTAAACTAGCCCCACATCACCATCTAAACTAGCCCCAATTCACCATCTAAACTAGCCCCACATCACCATCTAAACTAGCCCCAATTCACCATCTAAACTAGCCCCACATCTCCATCTAAACTAGTCCCACATCACCATCTAAACTAGCACCACATCACCATCTAAACTAGCACCACATCACCTTATAAACTAGCCCCAAATCACAATCTAAACTAGCCCCACATCACAATCTAAACTAGTCCCACATCACCATCTAAACTAGCACCACATCACCATCTAAACTAGCACCAAATCACAATCTAAACTAGCCCCACATCACCATTTAAACTAGCACCACATCATCATCTAAACTAGTCCCACATCACCATCTAAACTAGCACCACATCACCATCTAAACTAGCCCCAAATCACCATCTAAACTAGCCCCACATCACCATCTAAACTAGTCCCACATCACCATCTAAACTAGCACCACATCACCATCTAAACTAGCCCCACATCACCATCTAAACTAGACCCACATCACTATCTAAACCAGTGTTTCTTCCAGACTTTTTTCTCCGGGGGGGCACTTGAAATTTTCGGGGGGGGGGGGCGGTAAACTTTCTTCGGGGGGCGGACACTGTTAAAAGTATATATTTTCTATATAAATTATATAAATTTCATTTCGTTCGGGGGGGCGGTAAAAATTTTTCGGGGGGGCTTCGCCCCCCCGAAGAGATGCCTGGAAGAAACTCTGATCTAAACTAGCCCCACATCATCATCTAAACTAGCACCACATCACTATCTAAACTAGCCCCACATCACTATCTAAACTAGCCCCACATCATCATCTAAACTAGCCCCACATCACCATCTAAACAAGCCCCACATCACCATTTAAACTAGCACCACATCACGCTCTACATCCCATTATCGTACTATAAAACAAATCAATCAGTTTGTGTCTAATATAATTTTATTTTATCCAGCCAGATATTTTATTAAATATTTGAATAATTTCATCGATGCTTGCATATATTAAAGAGATTCCTTCACTAATGCCACGAACATTGCCTCAGTTTAAATGTCATGTATAAAGTTTCAGTTTGTGTTAGTTAAAAAATCCGAGTAAAAACGTCGTGATGGCAGCGACACAAATAGCAACAAACGCGGTTATCTTTCGTGAGAAAAGGTCTTCGCCGATGTCTTTCATTTTTTTCTTGATGATCAGTTTCTCCTCCACCGTCAGCTTAGGTTTGGGCGTGTCGTCTATGCCACAGATCCAGTTGTACAAGTAAACTTTCAAACTTCGCCTTCTGGGCTCAACTGGTACTGAGAAAAGATCACAATGTGAGAAATATAATTTTAGACGTCTGGTAGACTTCTGATAGCTGAATTGGGCTATTAAAAAAATGAACAATTGCATGGACATTTAGATTTTAACGACTTCTGGGACATGAGTACTTGGATGTTGTATATATAAGGCATATATATTTCTACATTATATGATTAAATAAATATTGAATGTATGTTCGTAAAGTATATCCATAAAAGAGTATCCCAAATGTAAAATAAAACAAGTGTTTTTAAAACTTTATAGCAACACATTTTAAATGTATTCTTTAAAAAAAGCTTTGCTTGCTAAAATATGTAAAAGATTTCATGAGCGACCTTTTATTAAAGAATGCAAATTAGTTTTAATTTTCTTTTTTCAGTGCATTTAAAATTTTGTTGCTACAAAGTTTATTTTTATATTTGTTTTATTTTCTACTTTATAGTGAATGGTAAATTATGAAGTGGACACGACTAAAAATATCTGATAGGCGATTATCTGCCCCGAAAAAAGCAGCCGTCCACAATTTACAGACAACAGTAATTTGATAAAATGAAGGATAGTTCTTAACCTTGCTAACTCCCCTTAGTTTTAAATCGTTCAATACTAAATTATCTGCCCCTAATAGCCTTCACTAATTCAATCCGGCTCTACGATTGTAAACATTCGACGTGAACCACAGCTCACCAGACTGGCAGGGTGATAGCGTCTAGTTAGTTATCTCTCCAGCTGTTATTAAAAACATAAATCAATCTAGCGATCGCTAGCATTTAATATTGTTATGTCCCCTTAATTTTGAAACCGTTTAATCAGTGTAATTTCCAATTAAATTAAATAATACGAATTCATGCATTACCATTTAAGACGAAGTTATCTGGAAAATTCGAACGAAATCAACGCATGGGTCAAAATTTAGCTACAAGATTTGCCACAAACCCACACACCTAGGTTGTGAAATAAGTAAAAGCTTGTAATCAAGAACAATTTTGGAATATCCTTTCATCCAAGCTGTTTGAGGTCTGTATTTAGTGCTTACGCAATTAAGAGTCACCAAGCTAAGTATGCTTCGACAAGCATACATTCCATGAGAACTTAGAAGTCCATTAGCTTAACAAGCACAGCGCACCCCAAGGAACAACGGAACAGTGTAACACTTAAAGTCTTAACAAGATACCATAAAAATATACATAGTAACTTAAGGGAAAGAAACTTTAATATTCAGAATGACCATCAACACAAGACGACCAAATGGGATAAACCACACATGTCCAATTTTTACATTTTTGAGTTTATATCTATTACGTATGACAATATGAATGCGTAAAACCACCTCGATCCTTTAAAATCATGCCACAATGGAACAACATAAGACCTTAAATACAAAATCTATTTTTCTCAAAAGTAAAAAACTGATAACTGTGGTCTGCACATACAAAAATGTAAAAAATGTATACTCAAAGAACACGAGTTATTACCGTTCAACGTTTCCTTACTGTAAGACTCAGGTCTGTCCTTGTCCTCCTCACCAGAGTTGTCTTGAGATTCCGAATCCTCAGGGTCAGTCGTGTCGTTACGTGTCCACCACGTCACTCGGTGAAGCTTCGAGAACAACATCACATTTATTTTACTTCAAATATGTATGGTTTATTTCACGAAACAAGGTTGTGTTATTTCAACATTTTAAGGAATAGTTCATTATATTATTTAAATGCCTGTTCATTATTTTGTTACAGTATGCAAATTAATAGTTTTGTAATTAGAGCCATGTAGTTATGATGTGGACCCAAATGTGGGCGGAGTCAGAAAAAAATTATTTAAATTTGGGGGGAGGGGGGAATCATTTTAAATAATCAAGTGCTTAACAGTATTGCTTAATAAGACTTCCTTAACTTCTTCCAATCTAGATTCTACTATATTGTTTATGCATAATTATAGCCATGCCCTAAATAACAAACCCCCCCCACACACACATATATATATATATATATATATATATATATATATATATATATATATATATATATATATATATATATATATATATATATATAAAACATTGTGATGTACACAATACCAACTATTCGAATAGTTGGAAAAGTTGGAAATATGAATTTAAATTTAGGTGGACGTCCACTTCGATATTGGTGGGTCGAGGAGGGGTGGGAAGAAACTGTCGAAAGTGGATGCATGTGGATAGTGGGCAGAGGGGTTCTATCGCTCCAAGTATTTGTGGACGTCATAATATATGGATAGCCCTAATGACTGTATTAATTAAGATTTCTACCAACAAAAAGTCCACGCCTACTTTTTCTGGCGTTCTGGGCGTGGTCAACAGCGAGATCCCCACGGTGCTGATGATGGAGACACCAGACAAGATGATGGCGAAGTGAAGAAAATGGACTTCCTTCAGCACCAGGGGTCTGGTATCAGGCTGGAAGCTTCCACACAGGGGCGCCGGGTAGACAAACTCCAAGACCATCCGGACAACACCCACACACGTGCTGATGACCAGGCCCCAAAAGGCACCCTGGGGTAGACAAGATAGAAAAATTTATAAAAGTAACTTTTGATTTGTAAAGTTGAATGTAATATTTTGTGTGTGCCTCAGTCATCTTCTTCTTCTTCGTTCTTAATTATTAGTGTTGAAGGGGATCGAGATTTATCTGCCAGTGGGTTTGAACTCGAGACTTTGTTCGAATTTATCAACCATGAGCTTTTTGCCGACTCGACCATGCCTCCAACACAATTAAGCGTTACGTGTCAACTGGTTATGCGCCATTGAGGCCATTGACTCCGATTTCAGCCTGCTTTTCTTTTTGGATCTGCTTCCATAGCCTTTGTCGAACCAAGAACAAACTACAAGGCAGCAGTTGTTTGATTTTGGAGTTGTCTCTCCTAGAAGAGTGGCTGTCCCCAGATAACGAGCCTCATCTGCCCGAGGGTTCGAACTCGAGACTTTTCGGTTTAGCAACCATGAGCTTTACTGACTCGACCACGCCGAACCCTACTCAGTCATCTAATTTACAGCGTCCGTTTACTTTAGCATGGTCGTTTTAGTCTTACAGTCTGTCCTCAACGGCCTGTGAGGACCGATACAGATCTATACATTAATATATATATATATATATATATATATATATATATATATATATATATATATATATATATATATATACGTCGCTCACCATGCAGGACACGCACGCCGACTCTCTAAACCTCATTCCCCCCCCCCCCCCTTCCCTCTCTCTCCAGGAAAAAGTCCTATATTAACTACTTTTTCTAACGTTTAACATCTTAGCTTCTTTGCTTTTTAAATTAAATGCTTTTTCTATCTATGGTAATTAGTACTACTGTTCCATCAGCATCATACCTGTTCTGTAGTTCTTTTCCAAAACAGGGCTAGCAAAAATACCCAGCAGAAAGGGGGAGAAACACACGAAGCAATAGTTTGTAAATAAGTCCAGAGTTGTCCCCCTTGAGAACTTTGGATGACAGGTATCCACACAACACTGAAACGTACGGTAAATCAATACAACCTTACAGAGTAATATAAGGGAAAAAACCCAGTAAAATATGAAGGCTAGAATTGTTTTTAAAAAATAAGAAATATAAAATAGATTAAAAAATCTGAAGATGGTGCTTTAGTCTTTACATTTATATTATTACTTCCGACAATTAAAAAAAATGTCAAAATTAAAGACATTATTAAATGTACATTGATGCCTTTTTTCATGATTGAGAGGAAATCATTACAAAAACATTTCGAAGTATGTTTTGGAATTTGACTCTATTAACAGTCTCTACCAGCCTGCTAGGAACAGAAGGTAATTAAAAGCCCAGCAATGGTTATAATATAGTACATATATATATATATATATATATATATATATATATATATATATATATATATATATATATATATATATATATATATATATCATTGTGTTTTAATAGATAACTTCAAACCTTAAGGCCACCAGAACGAGAACACAGACTCGACCAACGACCATCAACTCTTTCTGTGACGCTCTCCTCCGGTACCGTGTCCAGATGTCCATTGTGAACATGGAACTGGCCGAGTTGAAGATGGAGGTCAGTGTGCTCATCATAGCGGCCAGGAGGGCAGCTAACATGATGCCTCTAAGTCCTGTAAGTAAAGTTTGGAATTATTTTCTTCATTATAATTCATGACTTATATATTATGGTGACACGAAAGATGTGCAGCGGAAAGCTGCGCAATATAAAGTGCGCGGGGATTTTTTTTTTTTTTAAATTGAACATTTATAGACACTGTCAAAAAATGGCCTCATGTAGCCTACATTTTAGCTAATTAAAACTCGTTTCCACGAAACTTGACGAAATCAAAGTGTTTTGGTATAATTAGATAGTATTTGTACATTTTTCTGTTTGTGCAGTTTTAAGTTTGCGCCTTTTTCTGGAAACACACATAAACAGTATGAAATTATGGAGCTTGGCCTCCCCTGTGTATGTGGGGGGGGGGGGGGGGGAGGGATTGTTTTCCTGTAAACAAACACAGGCGCAAGATTTAGTCACCTGTAACTAGAAATCATTAATATTTTAACGCTAAGTTACATTAGCATTTCAATGACAGAATCTATGAGATTTTTTAAAAAGTTTTTATCTAGTTTTTTCAACACTGACCTGTGGGCATTTTCCTGAGGACCAAGAGGGGATAAGCAATATTGGAACATCCGGCTTCATTCCCACAGACAGCTTTACAGGTCGCTGGGTCGGCACAGGCTACCTCGTCTGGGTGGGGATATAGTGGGGGGAGGGGGTAGTTGGGTGGGGAGAGAGATCAGGTGAGGGTGTAGTTTGGTGGGGAGATGTGGTAATAAATGGACAGTAGTATTGAGTCCGATAATTTTAAAATTGAAAACGTCAAAATAATGTCCTTATTTTAAAAATACTTTTAAATAAATAACATATTTTCAAAATGCCCAAATATTGTGTAAAAAGTCGATTTGTTAATCATATGTCTAGTATTGAATTATATATAATATTATATATTAATAAATCAATTTTTGGGTGAACTTCGCATGATTAAAAACCAAAATGTCTAGATCCTCATATCTTACCTCTATGACGACCCATAAGTTATCCTATATGCAAACAAATAACTACTACTGGTATAAACTATTTACATTAGTATTTGTACCAACTCCAACTGGTAATTGGAAATATCTGGCAGTGTACTAGGAACTATGGTATTTTATTCAGAGAACAATATATAGGGCTACATCGCGAATACAAAATCTAACACGTGTTTATTCTTTTACCCAAAAGAAGCAACGTAAAAGTTGATTTAAAAGAAAAATGTAAAGTGGCTTGAATTTACATATAAAATAGGTGACCCCTACCCACCTACCCATATTAGTACCAACTGCATTCAACATATAACGACACTCAATACTATTTTGTTAAGACACACCACCGATTTCAAACACATTCTGAATTTTTATACTATAACATTTCGAATAAAGCAAAATGTAACTCTAATTCAACATCCACTGGGAGATCTCGAACTGTTTTTAACGTTATTTGAAGGCTTGTGAAAATGTTAACAAAGGCTAAAAATTAGACACATTTACCTGGAAAAAGGATTCTACTGATCATTCCAGGTACAATCCACAGAAAGAAAGGAGAAATTTTTAGTGCTGCAGCAAAAATACAACCCCCTTTACTGTGGCTGATGTTCTTAGCTGACAGACAGCGTTGGACCATGATCTGATCAGTAAACAAATAGGTTCAGATATTGATATAATTGTTGTATTTTACTTTATTACAGATTGTGTGGTTCAGAAAGTCATTACTTAAGTTTCTTTACACTTAATATGTATATACATATGTATATATCTATACACACATATGCATGTATATATATATATATATATATATATATATATATATATATATATATATATATATATATATATATACTATTTGTTTTACGATTATCTATATGTAGTGCAAATGAAGGAAAGTTAATCTTTTTTAATCACCTCGGCATATTAAGTGATATTGAGATCAGTTCTGTGCCAAGCCGTCTTTATCTTTCGACGCCGGGATCTGAACTCTAGACATTCGTGTTATCAGGCGTGCGCGCTACTATCGGACCACACACTCGCATGAATAAAATCTATCTACATATGTTGCCATATGCAAATTTCAAATCCCATTGAATCGTATGTAGCCAAAGAAAAAGCTACAATTAATTAATTAATTAATTAAATGTCAATCCATTGACCTGATCATTGCACCAATTCCACAGTCCAAGAACGGTCAGTCCAAACACAGCCCCAGGCCACGGGATGTCACCGGTCACTGCATCTCGCCATATGTGCATGTAATCTGTGTGTGAGTGGTTAGTTTGTAAGCAGAAGCAAGTAATCCCATCAGTATGTTTAGCTCTATCTACGGAGCGTATGTAATGCTATTTGTATGTTTGTATTGCAGCCATATGGGTAGTCTTCGTTGTAAACGTAACTTATTCCATAACTCCTCCCTTGTTATAACATTAATTTTTAGCGTGGGTGGGTGGGGGCAGGGGCGTAGCGAGGGGGGGGGGCGGGGGGTGCGGACCGCACCGGGTGACACCATTTAGGGGGGTGACACCAAGGCAAAAAATAGCAAAATATATAGAGAAAAACTCGAGGGGGGGGTGCAAATCGAAAGTTTGAGGGGGGGGGGGGTGCAAATCGAAAACTTGAGGGCGGGGGGGTGCAAATCGAAAGTTTGAGGGGGGGGGGTGCAAATCGAAAACTTGAGGGGGGGGGGGTGCAAATCGAAAGTTTGAGGGGGGGGGGTGCAAATCGAAAATTTGAAAGTTTGTCCCTGGGAAGGGTCTCTATGCCTCTGGGGGGGGGGGGGGGGGTGACACCATTAAGTGCCGCACCGGGTGACACCCGACCTCGCTACGCCACTGGGTGGGGGGGGGTTGCCTAAAATAAATCAAAAAATGTTTGTGGACGTCATAGATGGATGACCTCAAAACATCATTTTAATCTTTTCATACTAACTATGTCGAGCGAAATAAAATAAAAAGATAGAGGCCTATCAAATATGTCATTGTACAATATGGATTCACATGTATAACGGAACGTGATGGTACTCATATGTTTGCAATGGCAAGTTTAGCTATTCTATTCTAGCTCAGGCAAAACTAAGACAACACTCCCTTAAGAAGCGTGGAGAGTAGAATACATAATACAACGCTCGTTGGATTCAAATTGAAGGCGCGAAATTCTGGTTTCTGAAAGACAACAGCAGAAGTCACAGTAAATAGTCATTATGTTGTTGTTGTTTTTTTGGTGATAATCTTATTTTTTTGTTTTTGTTCTTTGAAAACCGTGATGATGATGCGTGATACTTTTTGTGTAACAGTAAAATATAATACCTATGCTTTTAATATGAAAACAAATAAATCATATTTTATTTTTACTATTTAGAAGGGTTCGGTGAATGCGAATATGAAGATGTCCGGGTTCTGTACCTTCGAAAAGGTTAATAATAACCACAGGTCTATAGTCTACATAGTTGACAGCCATTTGCGACCATATTGGCCATCTGTCCTTACATTTCCATCAGGTAAATGTAAATGAGTTCCTCAGTTGTAACACAGGAGTTTGATTAGAAGCGGTATAATTGCCCTGTTGTTACATGAATTAATTATAGTAATATGTAAATTGCAAGGGGCTTTCAACTTTTTTTACGTGTCTAAATTTGCATATATATATATATATATATATATATATATATATATATATATATATATATATATATATATATATATACATATATATAAATGTATATATATATATATATATTTATATTCATTATATAAATATATATAAATCTTTACATAAATATATATATATATATATATATATATATATATATATATATATATATATATATATATATATTCATTATATAAATATATATACATCTTTATATATATATATATATATATATATATATATATATACATATATATATATTTTTTTATATATATATATATATATATATATATATATATACATATATATATATATTTTATATATATATATATATATATATATATATATATATATATATATATATACATATATATATATATATATATATATATATATATATATATATATATATATATATATATAAAATAATATATATATATATATATATATATATATATGTGTGTGTGTGTGTGTGTGTGTTTTGTTTGTGTAAATGCGCACCTGTGAGTGTGTGCTATTGTTAAATTAAGTTTTCGTCCTATAATCATTAGTCATGCGTCTGAAAAGTCTTTTGTTCAAGTGTACTCACCCTGTCTAGGCAGTCCGCACGTGTAATTCCCAGGGTTACTCAGCGTCAGGTTGGACGCCGCGTGAGCGTATTTGTCCATGAACTGGTACCAACCTCCCACATCAACCAGCGCTAGTAAAACATAATTCAAGTAATACGTGATCTTTTTAAATACGTTCACACAAGAACATTTCTAAAACCTTCCTCAGGCTAATAGTTATGAATTCCGTTAAAATTTGAAAACTCTAGTCAAAAATTGTGGTAAACAAATGTTCGGAACGATAAACTATAACAAAATATGAAAATGCGTAAAGATACAACACAATTCGGTGTACAGTTAGAAGAACAGAGTCTTTCTCACCTATAACGAATAAGATGGTTGCTCCAATAAGTAAAATAACCGCTTGTAGTGTATCTGTGTAGATGACAGCTGTTAACCCACCTGCAGAGTGAGATGAATTTTTTTTGTCTTTTTTCAAGAGGAAACTAACAAAATTTAAAACATTAAGAACATGTGACTTTAAAAAGTAAAATATTTAAAAATTTATTATTGAATATCGCAAAATATATTACATTAATTATATATCAAGATTTATAAATTGCTTTCACTAATAGAAGAAAGTCGTTCATGCATTTTATGTATAAAATAAGCCAATTACATGGTGCATCAAGTTTTAAGCACATTTTATTGTATTTTATGATCTGATGGTTCTTGAGTTATGTTATATCCTGATAAAGACGTTTTTGTTTGCAGCACACAATTAAAAGAGCTGGGTTCATTAGTTCTGTGGTAAAAGTATGTCGATATGTGACCTGTGTTGGACGACGATGACATACACATACATACCGACGACTGTGTAGACTCCAGTGATCAACAGGATGATAGCCACACAAGCGTACAAGTTCCATCCCATAATTTGTTGCATGAATATAGCGCCGGAAAACATTTCCGACTGGTAAATTGTGAAACACAAACATTAATGATTAGTCGAGTACTATATTGTGTAACAGTATAGACACCCAATTCCAAAAAGCACGAATGAAACCCTTGGCTGAATAAGAGCTGTCTGTCAAACGTAAACATTTTTGACGACACACACATGTACAAATTTAGCAGGACTGAATCAGTGGTAAACGTAACTTTATTAAACATAAGAGAGATGATGTTCACGCAAGCTTCTTCAAATTCACATAATTCCGTCTTTTTTTTCAAATTACAAAAAAAAATTTTCTACCTCAGACATGTAATTTATAGCGACGGGTTCGCTTTAGTATTTCAGTTTCCATCATCGGCTTATGAAGACTGATACTCTTAAATATTCGTCATAACGATTGATACCCTAATTTGTTGGAAACTGTCTAGGGCGAATTGATATTAGGCCATACACAGACAATCTTTCATGTTTACTCTTTCATAGTATGAGTGAAAACTGAATTCTATTGTATGTGGTCATCTTTAGCAGAAATAGTAAAACCATTTTACAACATCTATTATTAGTAAATAACTATCGTTTATTAAGATTAAACTGGAGATATTAGGAATATAAAATATAATGTATAATATATAACAGGATGGTATGCGTCTCACCGAAATCTTTATCAGCACATACAAGACAAAGGCGAACACGGAGAGGTAGATTCTAAGTCGTACACCTCCAAAACGTTTCTTTAGATACTCCGGCATTGTGAAGGCCTTGAGGGAAAAAAAAATATATATATATGTATATATATATATATATATATATATATATATATATATATATATATATATATATATATATATATATATAAAGAGAGAGAGAGACAGAGAAAGACAGACAGAGAGAGAGAGAGAGAGAGATTTTGAGAGAGAGAGCGACATGTTTGTGAAATGTGTGTGTCTTGTAACAGTATGTTTGAACCAGGCTACTATCACAGTAAATACCATGTAAATACTACGTTGTTATTCTACTAATATTTACGCCTACAATCCTCACCCCACTGGAGACGTAGACAGGAACAAAGACCCATCCTAACGCTATCAACAGGTAGACAGCCTAGAGAAACATGTTAAAGAAAGACGATACTAAACAGGTCGAAATAAATACAAAGGAGTCCATTATAAATCCAGTATGGCATATCAAGATGAGGTGTTATTGCGTATAAAATCTGTAATTTTTTTGATAAAGTAAACCAATGATTGGATAAATTATAATTTGCATTTCTAAAACTAAAAAGATCGTCTGGTTTTTCTAAAAATTTAGCCAATGCGTTAATAATTAAAATTGTTACCAAAAATTAAATTTTTATTTAAACACCCTAAGAATAACATTTGCCACACCACCCCCCCCCCCCACACACACACACCCACACCCCCACTTACATGCCACTCATAAATAGCACAAGAGAAACCGGAAGCCGCCGCCGTCCCGGCTAGACCAATGAACATCGGAGCTCCAATGTTGCTGGCAAAGATTGAGGCACCGACCTACGAGAGGAACATCAGTTTATCACTACTAGCAACGGTTAAAAACAATCGAAAGACTAACTGTCTCGTCTCGTATTCATAATAACAGTGCGTCCATTCTCGTCTTCTAACCGGATATTGTCATGGTGGTCTTGCGACCCTTTAGTTATGCGAATGTGGATGGTAACGATAATACACATACATACATAAAATAGGAAAGTACCTTCGGACCTAACGAAACAGGAGGCAGATGAAATAGAGTTTGCCTGTTTCAGTAGCCTAGACTTATAAAAGGATAGTGTGGTTAGTACTATGCCTAGCCGCCATTACATTCCCTAACGTGAGTTAGGTACCCATCTTAGCTGTGTGGACTCAGTGATGTCCAATGATGTCCTATGGACTCGAGCCCGGAATGCGATCTCGAGACTTTTAGTTTAGCATTCGTATGCTCTACCATTCCACCGTGTATTAATTAAGACAAGAGGGACAGAAATATGGAAAAAAATTCAAATTATATTGTAATTTCATTTCGAGACTTTGTACAAAAAAAACAGAGCAGCCGATGTACATTTACCTACCGGAAACCAGTGCATGTTTTTTCCCGCCAAAAAATACCCAGCGGCACTACCTCTGTTTGGGCGACATGTCGACTGTAGGAGAAAAAAGTCTTAATATTGAAGTATTAAATCAACATAAACTGTAAACAATGGGCGCACTCAAAGGTTTATAAATAGGGCGGGTGCTAAAACTTTCGTTAGGATTATAATAAGAGTAGGAAAACTGGTTAACTAAAAACAGTTCAGAACCGTTGGAGTAATAAAACACACTTCGTGAACTGCTGTAATTAAAACATGGGTGTTTTAGAGTTTGGTAACATGCTGTCTTTTCGTAGTGAGTCATGTTTTTCCGCTTGAGTAAACTATAATAATCGGCAACATGCTGTTCTTTTCATCATAGTATGTGGGCTATGTTAATGATTACCGCGGTGGAAAGACCTTTGGTCTAAAGAATATTAAATGCAGAAAATCGATTAGGATGAAAACATTAAAGGGGTGTTTATCTTAATGTATACAACATTTACGTCGTCACATCGCTTTTTAGGAAGAAAAAAAACAGATTATTATGAAAAACTCTTACAAAAATACTTCAACGTGAAAGCTAAAACAATTTCCATACAATTTCCAAACCTCTTACTAAACTACGACAGGAAATAATAGTTTTATTTAATTACAATAGTAAATTATGGGCGATTTAACAACATCGGAACTACATTAATAATCTACGAACGAAATAACGACTTATTTATAAAAAAAATCAAGAAAATTCATTAAATGTTGGACGGAATAACAAGGGCCCTAAACAATAACTTCAACATTTGGAAGAAATAGCCACTTTCCTAAATTTTAATGTTCGGATTAAATAACCACTTCCTAAGCTCAAAGATAATCGCTACGGACAAAACAGACTTACCCATACTCCAACAGCTAAGACCAAAACGAAATAGCCAACAATTGCGGCGTAATCACCGCCTTCTAGTAGTCCAATCATTCCGTTATCTCTAATAATTTACTAGAGAAACCTAAAGATCATAAGACATGAAGAGGTTTTTTTTATACAATACCTACACATTAATTCAAAACATTACAAACTCAATCAAGTTGCAGCACAACATTTGGTCAGTTTTAATAGATAGTTTGATTCTGGTTTTAAAAACAGTGAATTGTTGTTTAATTTTTAATACATCGCTATGCATACCTATTGATATATATATATATATATATATATATATATATATATATATATATATATATATATATATATATATATATATATATATATATATATATATATATATATATATATACAATCGTTTATGTCATGACAAATTAGAACAACTATCGCACTTATGGTAACGTATATTGACCTTTAGTAGAAGCCCTGCAATCTTATTTTTTAATCTATTGACGAAGGATTGTTTATCAAGTGTCACCGAGGACCAATTCCTAACATCCGCGCCTTTAGGTGGGGTTTACATGGGCCCAGGTAAAGAAACTGTCGAATACAGCGTCCGATATAGAGTTGTATCAGCATACATTTTCTCATCAAAGGCTTTAAAGGTTTAAGTCAAGAAAGTCGATTCCTTCTAAAACCAACCTATCCTTTACGCTTGTGTCTTACAGCTTAAAATCGGATCTCTTATAGATTGTTTAAGATGACTAAAAGATAAGTATAACGACCTAGATAAACATGTTTTGTGCATGTACCGTATGCGGCCCACATATTCAGCATATGTCCACCGTAGATTCTGTTATCGAAAGCTGGGCAGATTAAAACACACTGACCCAAATGTAGGTTAAATGTTCATCTTTAGCTCAGTGTGGCCTAGCTTAAACCCACAGATAATGAATGGATATTTGCTCTAGTTAACCGTAGTTAGATTAGGGTACCTTGTACCTGTAACAAAATTTAACACGCTTAAAGTATTACAACGGGGCGTTCTTACCCGAAGTCACACAGCTAGAGGGGAGGGTTTCGCTAATTTGTCCGTCTGTGTGTGTGTCTGCCTGTCTGTAAACACAGCCACTTAAGTAGTTTCGGTTACTTTGACCTAGAACATATTTAAGACATTACACATAAGATATAGAACAAACACATGACAATAAACCTAGAACATACACGTGACTGTAATAATGCAGCACTATATCTATATCTTGAAGTAAAAGCGTTGGTGTTAACCTTCTGCATTTTATACTTTAGAAAATTGCCAGCAACATAAAAATTAAAATAAACACATTTATATTAGCGTAAACACACTGTACAAAGTAAGAAATATTTACATAGTAACACACCGGTACGTAAATACAGCTCGTTGTAGATAACATTTATAGCCTATTTATTTGAAACAACTTTACTAAAATGTATGAGCGACCAACGCTTTTATTTTATTTTATTAGTTTTACGTTTAGGGGAAATTAAACCGTATATCTAAAATACTTTCTTATTAAATTAAATAAACAAACTAAAATTGTGTATAGTAGAGCGACAAGATGAGTACTTAAAAATAAATGCATTACCTTTTATTTTGAAGTATAAGCTCATAAACTGGGTGGTGACAAATTAGATTAGTGGCTAACGAGAGGCGATACACTATTCACGGCGTCAGAATAGTCTCCTTCACTAATGGGAGAACCGGATGATCCCAATCATACTTATCGGTCTCTTATCTGTAATGTCGTTGCAGGTTATTTGCATTCGTTTGCTTTTAAAGTCTTCCTAAGCTCCAGTAATAAAACTGATCATTAAACGTTAACTCATCTGCATGTGTTGTTAGATCTAGGATCTTTCGTGTTTGACTTACGGTCGTGTGGTATGTTGTATCGTTATATGTTGTATTGTTGTATGTTGTATGGTGGTATGTTGTATCGTTGTATGTTGTATTGTTGACAATGTTCTACTTTCTTAGTGTTGGATTTTTCAAAGAATAGGTCTTGACGTGGTCTTTACATAATATTGCACCACTATTTATCAAGTAACTATAAGCGTAGTCTTTGGTCGTAATATTCTAAAATATATCTATTTTGAAATAGGTTGGCACTTTGTACAACATAAATAATCCTACAATTCAATTATTACATGCAACATGTAAGTAATATCATTTATTTATATAGAAACACACCTAACTGAAATAAACCTCGAATTCAAAAGCATAAATAGACAAATAATTAACAACAGTACACCATTAATTAAAATTTATTAGTTACCAAAACAGTGTTTCTTCCAGACTTTTTTCTCCGGGGGGAAGGGGCGGACACCGTTAAAAGTATATGTTTTCTATATAAATTCCATTTCGTTGGGGGGGGGGGGGGGAGATGAGAAGCGGTACACTTTCTTCGCCCCCCCCCCCTCCCCCGAAGAGATGCCTGGAAGATACATTGTACCGAAATGTAATTTTTTAAAGGGTTTTTTGTTTTTTAGAGAAAATCAAACCTCATGATTGAAAACATTTGCGTGTTAAATGTGTGTTTAAAACAGCGACAAGATTAAAAACAAATCAAAATGTACTACGTCGTATTTTAAAAGTAAAAACTTGTTTCTCACCAATACTATAATCTACAAACACTTTTGGCGAACAAGACGAACAGCTATAAACACTTTTAGTGAACAAGACGAATAACTATAAACACTTTTGGCGAACAAGACGAATAGCCCAAAACACTTTTGGCGAACAAGACGAACAGCTATAAACACTTTTGGCGAACAAGACGAACAGCTATAAACACTTTTGGCGAACAAGACGAACAGCTATAAACACTTTTGGCGACCAAGACTTTTAGCTACAAACACTTTTGGCGACAAACAATTTGTAGAATGGTCTCATTCACGGATGAGCGAACCACATGATCCGAATGTTCTGTTCGACCTCTTGTCTACCATCTAGGTGCAGGTTATTTGCATTCTTTTGATACTAAACTCCACGTCAATAACAATATATTTAACGTTAGAAAACATGTTTTTGAGGTCAAAGACCGGATCTATCGTGGTTGACATTAATGACATAGTCTAGTATGTTATTTTGGGTAAGATGGTTTACTTCTAAGAATTGGCGAGTTGTTTTGGCGTGGTATAGCAATAGAGCGAATTATGTTTCAAGGTCTACCTTATAATAATATTAATAATAGAGTAGGTCTATAAGTAGTTTTAACATTTTGGGACGCGGTACATTTTGTTCCAGCTGTTAAATTTGATGGACATTCATTAGCGGACACTTCATTAAGCTGCTTTCTCCCTCTCTCTCTCTCTCTCTCTCTCTCTCTCTCTCTTTCTGTCTCTTTCTATATATATATATATATACATATATATATATATATATATATATATATATATATATATATATATATATATATATATATATATATATATAGCATATACATGTATTACTTCAACCTGATCAAATAAATTTTGAATTGTATGGGGTTTAGTGCATGCCAGTACAGAGCGACCCCCGTAGTTAATTATTTTATCTTCTCTATGTAAAAATAATCTTGTCGGAAAATGCATATTATCTGTAGGTATCTTTTAAAAAATCAGTTTAGAGCGCCTCGATCAAAGTTAAATACAATCACTTTAAAAGCCTTAGGTGTCTATCTACTTTGAAATAACTAAAAATATACTGAAAACAAAACTGAAAAAATAACCTATTTCATGATCTTTTAAAATGAGTCATCGCATCGTTTGTTTATTTATCTATTCTATTATCATTCTTTTCAACTAAATGATATGCATTTGATAATAGTATATCTTAATTCCATGTTACTACCATTTCTTTGATATTTATTCAAGCGTCGTTGATATTTATTTATCTTTAATAACGTCAATTGTGTAAAAAGGTGTCTGTTCCTACTGAAGTAACCGTTTCAAAATAATGTTTTTTAAGATGATGGTGATTATTAAAATAATTATAATTATAATAATTTTTTTTAATTACATTATTATTATTATTATAGTTATCATTATTATTAATATTTTTTTAATTGCTATTTAGGGCTAAACAAATAAAATACTTTGTTTATTATTGCGTCATCAAATTGTGTGTATTTCTCTGTATTACCCTGAAAATTTTTTGATACAAAACAAAAAGACTAAAGCGGAAATCAATATGTCCAAAATGTTAAAACGTCATTTGTCATTTTTTCAGCTGTCTTTTAAAGTAAGATAACGGCATGGTTTAAGCATAGCTGAATTTGTAGTTATTAAAATAAGTTAGCAATGGAAACATTGGAATATTAGCTTTAACGTGGATCAGTTAGAACTCCGATGGGTTTATTTTTCTATTCATAATGATTTTAGCATCAGTGAATATTCTCGAGTAGTGAAAAACTTATTTTAAAAATCGTTTTCTGTGATATTAAAAATGTGGTTATAAAAACTGTTTGTGGTTTTTTTTTTGTTGGACTAAAAATGTAATGAATTTTGTGTTTGTAAGATTTTCGGTAACTAAACAAAAATTTTAAATAAGCAAAAACAAAAAACAACAAATAAATAAATTGGTTCATTTCGTTTTGCTCATTAAAAAAAACATTTCAGTACATTCAATCAATGTTTTTCTTACAAACGTGATACTTAAGTTATGACTTAGGGTTCATAAAATAATTAGAAATATGGTCTTACACTTTAAAAAAATATTTTCAATTTCTCTGGATTTCAACTTTTATAACATTGATTCTAAAAATATTAAATTTCAGAATAATTTTAAGATTTAGGTTGTTTTTTTTATTATTTTTTTACGTTCGTCTAGGTGGCTAAATAAAAAAAACACGTTTTTATCCATGTCAATAATAATGATCGAACTCATCTCATGAAACTCGACTGCCTCCATTTAAGAATATTCTACTACAAGATTGTGTCCAATCTTTATTACCCACAGGTTCCAGAGGTGCTTGTGCTGATCCTGATAGCGACACTGTGTGAGATGGCTTCGTGTTGTTTGCGATCAGGTGAGTATTGTACTTTATTGATCGGATGTGTCATTTAATAGACAATGTTTTCATGTGTTGTCTTACTAATATATACTTGTGTAGAGGGGATGAAAGCAAGCGTTGCTACTGAAATAGCAATATAAACAGAATGTGATATTCAAAACTGATGTCTCTATTTGGACTATATTCTGTACCTTTGTCTACCCTTGGCGTTGAAATATCACTTTCTGTTTATATTGCTGATAACTACTTGCATTCTATGTGATTATTTTTACACAGTATTTGCCACATTTTTGTGTGTTCTTACTCAACTGTTGACGTAAGCGTGATCACCTCTATGTTATCGTTAATGTTTAGATCTATATTTACGATATAACCTTGACTACAATTAAGTTGACCTTAGTCGTACATATGTGTTTATTACTTGGCCTTGACTACAATAAAGTTGACTTTCAGTTGCAGATACTTATTTATTATTTAAACCTTGGCAACTTGCATAATTGATCTCAATTGCATATACACGCTTATTACCTGACCATGACTTCTCAAACATTGTCCTTAGATACATGTATACAATGTAGCTCGAGTACTCCAATAAGGTCCTTAGAAACATGTGTACTACGTCAGCTCGAGTACTCTAACAGTGTCCTTGGATACATGTGTAAAACGTCATTTTGAGTACTCTAACTGTGTCCTTAGAAACATGTTTACTACGTCACCTCGAGTATTTTAATATCCTTAGATACATGTGTACCACGTCACCTAGAGTACTCTAACAGTGTCCTTAGAAACATGTGTACTACGTCACCTCGAGTATTGTGTCGTTAGAAACATGCAGTATTCTACTTAGATGCATGTGTAAAAAGTCACCTTGAGTACTCTAACAATGTTAAAAATATGTGTACTACGTCACCTCGAGTACTCTAATATTATCCCTAGATACATGTGTGCTACGTAACATCGAGTACTCAAACAGTGACACCTGTCTATAACATGTGTATTACATCAAATATCTCCCTTAGATACATGTATGCTCCGTAGCATCGAGTACTCAAACAGTGACACCTGTCTATAACACGTGTATTACATCAAATATCCCCCTTAGATACATGTATGCTCCGAAACATCGAATACTCCGATGGTACCCTCATCTACCCCGGTGAAGGAGGAGCGTACAAGTGCCAGATAATCAAATGTGTAAAAGGGAAATTCGCAAACGTTACAGGGGAACGTGAGTTTTTTCCCACGTTTTCTTTAACTTGCTTTCTCTGTGTCTTTCTGTGTTTCTGTGTTTGTTTGTCTTTCCAATCCAATCTTGCGATCGAAATTTCTGGCACTTCCCAGTTAGCTAGCGCGCTGAAATTTTCAGGGAAGCTTTGTTTTGGATGACAATTGAATATTCTATTGTTTTTATTACTAAATTAATCCATGGAAACATTTTATTGATCATTTTAGACCACTATATAATTGTACCAAAAAACGTCGGGAAAAAGGGACATTACCCAGTAACTGTAATTTGATGAAAACAAGGTTCGACACTCCCCCTCTTTTTGCTTACTGAGTAGTTGTCACGCTGTGTTTGTGTACAAACAACCATAACCTAACAACTGGTGGCCAGTATGGGGGAGACTATATGGTCGAGTGGTTGGGCACACGATTGCTATCCCACTCGACACGGGTTCAAATCTATGTGTTCTAGTCAGTAACGTATTCACACAACGTGTTTTTTTACGAGTTGTCTTTTTACGAGTTGTCTTTTTACGAGTTGTCTTCGTTTACCCAAAAAAAAAGTGAAAAGATAAAATCGATAGCAAGATTTTAATGTAAACAAACAGACAAAGACTAAAAAGTAGAAAATAATAATCATTAAAAAAGTTTTAAAAAACCCACGTTTTCCGATTGAACTAAAAAGTAGAAAATAAATACTGTACATCACAATAATGCAAGCGATCACTCTACTATAAGCGATCAAAAACGTGGGGCGCCGTGATTTTCTTACAGTTTCTAATACTGTTGACTCTCTACAAGCTCCCTAATAAAAGTCAATAGTATTATCTAATCAATAGTAATATAACTTTTACTTCGGCGCCCCACGTTTTTGATCGCTTATAGTAGAGTGATCGCTTGCATTATTGTGATGTACAGTATTTATTTTCTACTTTTTAGTTCAATCGGAAAACGTGGGTTTTTTAAAACTTTTTTAATGATTATTTCATCATCAAATTCTTCCCACTCTGTATATAACCTAGTTAGCGTCACTTTCCCTGTATCAAAATGTAAAGATCCATTTGAATCTGGCGGTACTTGATCGGGCAACTTTCTGTGAGGTTTACTTTCCCTAAAGTAAGTTAGTGAGTATCCATCAGAGCTGGGTAGACTGAGTGATGTGCTACGACTCTAGCATAGGAACCGAACTCGAGACTTTCGAGTTAGCAGTCGAACGCTCTACCATTCGACCACGCTTTCCCTATCAAAGCCGACACTTTATTTAATAAATAACACTCTGTCCGATCTAAGACGACACGATATTTAATTAGCGCCACTTTCTTCCACTCTCAGCTAAGTCTATGCCTTTATCATTATTTTGTCTCTATTGAAGTAAAAGGAAAATATCATTTTTTTCATTTTTTCTAATATTTAAAAAAAAATAAAATAAAATAAAAAATAGAAAAAAATTGCGCGATCGTTCCTCTCGCTTACATCATAAAATAACTATTTTGTTGATTGACAGAAGATTATCTTCCTAAATAGCCGCTGAAATTTACAAATATATCCACAAGACACATACATGGGATGAAATTACCACTAAAATTGATACGTTCGTGCCACCTGTGCATAACTTAGCTGTGAAATGCCCTCATATTAACTCTTGGTATCGTTAAGACACAAACTACATATGAAAATTCCCCTACAATTAACTGGTATATCGCCAAGACACATAAATTACCTGTAAAAGGTCACTCAAATTTACCCGAATACCCTACGAGTGCCCCCGACACATAACTTACCTGTGGAATAACCTTATACATTACCTGTAAAACTGCCACTTATACTGAGTCTTTCACCCCAGGGTGCATAGACTACCGGGGCAACTGCCACCAAGCCAGAACTCTCTACAAGACATACATGAACACCAAACGGATGGAATGCTACTGTGAGGTGACCTTTAAACCCAGATTCCAAGCATTCTTTAACGAAATTTATTGCGTCCCTTGGGGATTTTAAAATGTAAGAGAAACTGTAATAAAAACAACGTGAGGTATTTTACAAAGGATTCTCTCCCCTTAAACAACTCTCCGCTTGAATTATTTAATGAATAAAAGAAAATATAAATACTAAGTGGCATTTTATTTGTATTTTTTATTATAATTGCTATTATTCAGATAATATTTTTTTCAGTTTTGCACTACGTTATTGTGAAAACAAAACACTTGCTCGGTAATATCAAATAAGAGATTTAAAAAAAAATGGCCATCATAATATAAAAAAAAAATTATTGACAAACTTAGGTACAAATACCATTTTAACCAGCTGAATTTTCGCGTAGTAATTTGTTCCTAGACTGAAAATTTTTCTTATACCACATTATTTAAATTATAAGTTTGTTTTAAGCTTAGATTTTTTTTTAAACAAACAAATTTGCTAAATTCTGAACCCTTTTGAAAAAAATATCATGACGTACAGGTCTGTGTAATTAGTTTAGGTATGTTTTAAATTGTTAACACATTCGATGAAGATCTTTAAGTTAACTAAGGGATGTTACAAAAGTATATAACTTTAACCTTTATTATTAAAATGTTTAATGCTCCTGTTAAATATTAGACGGGTTTCTACTCAACGTATGGAGTATAGAGAATAAGTACTGTAATAAAAGGGGACTTAATTTACGTGTAATCTTCACGGTTAGCTGCTCTTACTTTCATGTAGCATATAAAAAAAACATGATCGTTTAAATTTCTGTGCTTGTTGCTAAATACTCAGTATTTAAAAAATTAACACACTTTGTTAGCTTTGAAATGTTATTTAGCAATAAATAAGATTCTCCAGTAGAATATTGTACATTCTCGTTTTTTATCACACATTGTTAGAATAGGTACACCGTCAAAATAGCCCGGAACAAAACGGCCTAGTCAAAATGACCCCGACATTTCGGCTCCAGTCAAATAGGCTCCCGACAATTGGACTCCCGACATAGTGGCTCCCGACTAATAGGCTCCCAACAGCAAAAAATAATTTTTTGTATGTTTTGAATGTATAAACTACATTTTATTTAAAGAACAAAAAAAACCAGGAGTGATCTCGCATAAACTTTCTGGAATATTCATAATAATATATTACACTACAGGGGATGAAACTAGGGAAATAGACATGATTTTTAAACCATTTTTAATTACTTAAACTTTTTAAAGTAGAATAGAATCTCGTAGAAAAAAAAGGAATTGCGCACTAAATGAACGCCAAACAAATTAGTTATAATATTGTGGAATATTATTAGTTCTTTATAAACTCATGTGCTTTTTTGAAATCGGAAATAGCGAAAATTACTACTTCCGATCAACGGAAATCACTCAAAATTTTCTAGAAGTTTTACTTACATGTAAAATTTCATGTATCTACCTGAAACAGTACTCAAGTTATAGTCTTTTGAAAAATTGAAATAGAAAAAGTTCCACTTCCGGTTATCGGAAATAGCTGAAAAGTTGAAACAGAAATGCAAATTTGATGGAATACTTATATATCAAATGGTGTCAACCTAGCTATAGCGTACACAAGTTATCATGTTCACAGACATCCATACACACACACAGAGAGACATACGGACAGAATCTCAAAGCCCAGTTTTTCAGACTCGATTGCGCATAAAATCCCACAATTTTGATAAATCTGGATTGTTAATTTTTGCACGATTTAAATAAGTCCTCTATACTCCGGATGTAATGAAGGACTGAGGGGAAAACTCAAAATTTCAAGTGAGTTTTGTGCACGATTACAATACTTTCTATATACTCCATATACGATAAAGTAATAATAGTGAACGCATATTCGAGTGTTGAAACAGAATTTTAATTTTGCAATCGGAAAAGCGTTAATAGTTGTAAAAAGAACGCAAATAAAAATACAATGAGGTCACATGTAAAATGTTTAAACTTCGGAAAGTACACAAAACTAGTGGAGTCATCTTTTAAATCTAGATTAATAAGATAATTAACTATTTCATTAAAATTTGATTTAGATCTATAGATCTGCTTATCAAGACGTGCGATATAAAATGTATACAATTTTCTGGGCCTAAAGGAGTACAAATTACTTTTAAAACAACGTAAATACCATTGAACAGCTGGGTTTTTTGTGAAATTATTTAAGTCTCTTAATCAGTGTGTGCATTTAATTTGGTCTTATGTTGACTAATAATATACATAATTTGGTTTTTGTATTGGTAGCCTATGTTATTTTAAATGTATCGGTTTTTTAGCTATTTAGTTGTTTCTTTGCTTTGTCACTATAATATCGTTCGACGTGTAGTAAAGAACATTGCGATTTGACCAATATGTGTTTTATAAAATACGAGCTGACCCGCGAATATACGCCGCCATCTAGTTGTTTTTTTTCTGCTTATAAACAATTCATAATTTATGAATTCAACACTACCCCCTCCCTCTTTCCCCTTCCCGCCCAGTAAAAGCAGCCGTTTATAGACAAATAAAATATCACTCAGAAATTATTACCTCCCCTTCCTTTCAAATCGTTTAATTAATACTTATCTGCCCCCGATAGCCGTCACTAACCCAGCTCTACTATTGTGAACCACAGCTCACCTGACATGTGGGGATGAGGGTGGTGGCTAAGCTGCGTGGTGTTTTCTATAGTCTCCATGAAGATAATTATATAAATACGAGCCAGACCATGTGGGTGTGGGGGTGGTTGCGATATGCCTAGAGAGGAAGAGAGGGGACTGCTAGGCGCGCTAACAGCTTGTTTTCTAACGTCTCCCAGAAGAGAATTTTATATATATATATATAGATACGAGCCGACCCGCGGCGTATCATACGCCGCTTTTTAGTTGTTTTAGTTTCTACTTTTCAGTAATTTATAGTTTGTGAATTCGACAGTACCAACGCTGCAACTGAAAATATTTGCTTTAAACACTATCAGTAGCTCGTTAAGGACGATAACCCCCCCTCCCCTACCCCCGCGAAAGTAAACTCCTCTTAGTTACCTCCCCTAAGTTTAAAATCGTTTCAAACTAAATTATCTGCCCACTAATAGCAGTCACTAAACCTGGCTCTACGATTGTAAACATTTAGCTTGAACCACATCCCACCAGACCATGTAGGGGTGGGGGTGGTAGGGAGCGCGCTTACAGCTTGTTGTCTTCTATCGTCTCCAACAAGAGAATTATATCTATAGATAGATATATATTTCTTCAACAAGTGTAGCTTTAAAATATTTAGGCCTATCATTCACGTGTAAGGGTAACGACGGCTTTGGGAATATAAGTGAATTTTTTAGAGACATACATTTCTTAAGAGATGCTAATAAGTGTAATAAATATATGTAATATTAATTAGAATATAATGATAACATACACTTTTCAAGCCTATTGCATATCAAATTAGTAGTTATTTGAAATACGAGCGCGTTGTTTAAAACCCAGCGTAAGCGTATACAAATGAGTCACAACATATGAATCAGGATAGATAAAGACCAAAAGAAAAAAAAGATCTAAGTATATAAAGGTTCTAAAATGAAATGAAACAAAGGAACCCAAGAGTCACAGAGAGCCAGACGAGAAAAAATACAACGAAGGCGATCTCGTTGGGGTACTTTGTGCTGCAAGTTGTCTGGGTGCCAAGTTCCATTTTGGTTACAATTTCAGGCGAATATAAGGTTTTACGAGAAGGCAATGCTACCTGTGTTGGATCAATAACTTCAGGGTTTTCAAGCGTCAATGGATGAACCTTGTTTCTTCTACTAAATTGAGAAGTTGACGGTAAGTGTATTTGCAAGATTTTCTGTCGTGAAATACAAATAAAAAATAAATAAATAAATAATATACAAAAGTTTTTAACGTAAATAAATCAATAAACAAATAAACTAACAAGTACCCAAGTATGTAAGTAAACAAAAAAAATGACCAAATAAACTCAAAAATTACAGAAAAAACAAGTAATTGAATAAATAAATTTTAAAATTTTAAAAATTAAACAAATTAAAAACAAGGTAATTAAAAAGTCTAGTGACAATTTTAGCGCAATTTCCTTATGTTATCTAAAAATAGCTCTGTCGTAGCGTAAATCAAGAGCAGGGTTAGTAAAACCATTGGTTAAAATACATGTTTTATTTACAATAGAGTTACATGACTAAAACCATTGCGCGCCTAGCTACTGAACGTGATGACGCAGCCATTGAACGTGATGGCGCAGCAATTGAACGTGATGACGCGTGTGGTGTGGTTGGATAAACGCCTACTAATTCGGTCCAAATTTTAATTAATTCAAAAATTTTTTTGTGACCGAACGAAAGGATATTTTTGAAAACTTTCTTCGGCAATATTGTTCTAAATTATGGCAGGAATCGATTGGTACATGTTTTAAGTCGCTAAGTGGTCTGGTTGCCGAGATATGGGCCAAAAACTGCTTTTTTTGCGAGGTTTTTTGGCTTTTCCGGGAAATCCATGAAAGAAACCCGGATGTTTTATGGCCTATGTTCATCCTCGTAACTTGCTTAACATAATTGCTTTTGGAACTAGTCATCGATATTGCTTCGTTGAGGAGGAGATACGACTTAAAGCTGCGGACACACATCCATCCATCCATCCATCCATTCATTCATACATTCATACATCCAGAAATGACGGGCTAATAAACGCAGAATGGAAATTGCGCTAAAAAAAATGAATAAATGAATCACTGAATAAGTGAATAAACGAATTAATGAATTAATAAATTAATGAATTAGTGAATTAGTGAATTAGTGAATTAATGAATTAATGAATTAATGAATTAATGAATTAATGAATTAATGAATTAATGAATTAATGAATTAATAAATTAATGAATTAATGAATTAATGAATTAATGAATTAATGAATGAATGAATGAATGAATGAATGAATGAATGAATGAATGAATGAATGAATGGATGGATGGATGAATGGATGAATGAATGAATGAATGAATGAATGAATGAATGAATGAATGAATGAATGAATGAATGAATGAATGAAT